ACCAATACAAATTCTCAGAGCTATTCAAGATGACGCAACACAAAACAATAAACAAGCATGGATCCTCAGCCTAGACATGGCAAAGGCATACGACTCAGTCAATATCCAAAGACTTACACAGTCACTACAACGAATCAAATGCCCAGAACAAATAATTAAGATCATTACAAACATGTGTGACAACAGACAAAATCAAGTACTCACACCCTTTGGACCAACATTGCCATATATAGTAGAAGATGGTCTTGACCAAGGGGACACAATATTACCACTTCTGTGGAGAATATTCTACAATCCTCTTATCACATACATAGCAACCAAAACCCGAGGATATACACTCACAGCCAAGCATTAAACAGATACACACCAACTACCTAAAATTACAACTCAAAACATATCTTGTACAGCCTTTATGGATGACACAACACTGATCACGCAAGACAAGGAAACGCTACAAGAACTTTGTAACACATGTACAGAATTCTTCAACTGCAATGATATACACATCAATGGTTTCAAGTCAAGCCTAATTATCCTTAACAAGAAACATCCAACAATAGATCACATAATAATTCAAAATCAAAAAATAGCAGCCTTGCAACCGAAACAAGCAGCAAGAATCCTGGATATACAGTATACATGGAAGGTACAGGTACTAAAACATATTAGACACACCTGATCCATGACAAAACTCTTAAATTTGCAAACACAATCAGATGGAAGACGTCAACAGATAAACAACTAAGATACCTCCACAATCAAGTCTGGATACCATCAATTACATATTTCTATCAGACCTTATTCTATTGGAAAAAACATGTGACAAAATAATGAGCTACCTCAACAAAACATACAAACACAAACTGAACCTTGCACAGACTGCTCCAAACACGATCCTTTTCAACCCTCTTGAATATGGATTTTTCCATATATGGGATAGACAAATTCTTCTTCACGCAAACAACTGGCAAAAATCAATTAACAGAAATGACATTAAAGGCAAGATCACAAGTATGAGACTACAAGAAGCACAAAACACATTCTGGTCAATTGAAAAAGTCACAAGCACTAGTCTCAAATCACCACTCACACCTCTAGACAAAAATTTAACACACGATAGAATCTTCTTACTCAGACAACATGGTTTCACAGGAATCGCACAAACAATTGAAACCATCAAGAAAACAGACACAACAATAGAAGAAATTACAGACCCAACATGGTATAACAAACACAAAAAGCAACTGGCAAAAAACCAAATCATGTTTCTTAATCAAATCACCAACTTCGTAGGCACAAGAATGGCAGCATGGGTGGAAACCACCTATCCAAACAAAAGGCCAAACAGAAGAAAACCAACATGGTACAAAGAACTCCAAAACAATCAAAAAATACATGTACTCATCAAATACAGAGCAGAAAATCAAACTAATCAACTATCCTAATACACAGCTATCAAAATAAACATCAAAAAACAAGATCAAATGGGTAGCAAACAGCACAAAGGAACACAGCATTATCGGCAAGAAAAAAAGGATAACAGGAAATACAGCCAAACTCCAACACTACACAAGAGTCAATGAACAATCGCCATTGAAAGAATGCCAAGGCTGCATCCTCGACGTCCAAGGAAAACTAGGAGAATGTGTCTTCTTTAGAAACCTACACAGCTTAATCAACATACCAGTTTACAAAAGTAGGAAGAGTTCAAGACACGAAGCAAACGAAACGCTATGCCACAGAAGCCGCACAACACCAACAAGTCTACGCACAATGCTCCATAACACATTTATACATCAAAATTTACCCGATCCGCCACAAATAACACAAAACATAATCTATATCAACACACAGATAATTGGAAAGATTCTGAACACATCAACAAATACACTTCAGAAACTAGCAATGATACGACACAAAATAGGGAACCTAAAAACAATCACAGTATACACAGATGGGTCCTTAGATACAGAAAAGAAGATGGGGTTCGGCTGGCACATACCACAAATCCCAGAAATCAGCTTTCAAGATAGAATCGAAAACTTCCCATCATCCACACGAGCAGAACTAGCAGCAATAGCATCATTTCTCACAACAGCCCCAGCAGGCAGCGAAGTAATAATTTACAGCAATAGTCAAGCAGCCCTCAAAGCAATAAAGAAATTATAGAAAGACCACATGCAATTAAGAAATCTCAAAAATAACAACCTGATTAACTCAATCATCCACATCCTAGACTCACAACATATCAAGTTCACAGGAATAAAAATCAAAGTACACAATCAAGACCTCAACAACGATAAAGCTGACCAATTGGCCAAAGAAGCAACAAACCTAAATGCAGACCATATCATAAATTTCACAGCACAAAGATACAACAAACAAAGTTGGACACAAGAGTGGAATGGCCAAACACTGGAAAACACCATAACACAAACATACAAAAACATTGCTAGAATCAAACACATCTTAAACTGGAGAATGCTAAATCGCAACCTAATAACAACTACAAATCAATTCACCCGGAAAAGCATAAATTGGACAGAAACACTGAAACACAAACATTCAACAAAAATCACAACAGGAACTACGAATCAAGAAGACCACAATGTCAGATCATTCAGGCTAAAACTTTGGAATTTGGAACTACCAACTAAAGACAAACTACACCAAAGATCCAACACAACATATACTAATAATAGGTGCATATTATGCAATCAAGAGACAGAATCAAACACACACTGCATGACATGTAAACAGAATGGACAAAACCGTATCAACATTCTCAACCAAATCACAAACGAGGAAATCAGCAGCAGAACATCAATGAAGCTAGGACACAAACTTTTCAAAGAACTTAAAGAATATCAAGAGTCACTGACACAAGAAATCAAGAACTACATCACAAGAGGAGCACTTACAACAAAACTGATAAACATAATCAAAAAATACACAGACCAAGAGAAACATAAAGAAACGATTAGCACAATCAGTGACAGATTCTCAACCGAACTCTATCTCAAATGGAAGAACAGATGCGATCACTTCACAAAATGGGAAATTGAAAACAACATCACAAGAAAAGACAAGAGAAAATGGAACACACACAAGAAAAAAGAAAAACAGAACAAGTCATTTATTCTGGGTCTCAACAAAATAATGGAACAAGCCAGCTACGACTGGATCAACTGGAACACAATATACTCTTTTAACACTATGTTTATTTGGGACAGGTAGAGCCTTGGCAGATTAGCTAAGTATATGCCAGTACTTGGCAATAAGTCACATGATAGGAAAAAATCCTTAATGAGCTTTATTTAGGAAAATGAGTGGGAAATTTGTATAAAATAAATTTGTACATACTCAATCAATCAAAACTTAATAAAGCAAGGTGCACGCCACCAGTATAAAAAAAAAAAAAATTACAAATAATTGTTGAATTTTATTAATTATTTTATTTTTAAATAATGAAATTAATCACTAAATTATGGCTAATTTATCTATCAAATATTTGTATTTACATTGCCGAATGCTATAATGTTATAGTTGAACTATTAACGAATGTTTAACGAATATCTATATTGATTTTTATGCCGAGTGGCACCAAACGGCATAAATTCAGCTTAAATTTAATTATAAAAAATTTAAAAATTCAGCAATAATTCGACATGCCGAATGACCAAATTTTGACTAGTGTATGTTTCTTGCCTTTGCGATATATAATAATAAAATTGAAAGCTTGTAATCAGAGAAACCATCTCATCTATCTTCCTATTAATTTAAATATTTGTAACTACTTTAGTACCTTATAGTTGGTCATGATTACAAAGGGCTTTAGTCTGTAATAATACTGAAAATACTCAATTTTCCAGATTATAGCTAAACACTTCAACTCCGTCATAGCATAATTCTGTTCATGTTTAGTTAATCTGTTACTTGCATAGGTAATTACATACTCCTAATCATCCATATTCTTCTGCATCAGTATGGCTTTTAGCCCATACCCAGATACATCAGTGTATATAGTATATAAAATATCTTCACATAGTTTGGATACCTTAATACTGATATGGTAATAAGATGCTATTTAAGTGCTCAAAGGCTTGATTATGATCATTCTGCCATTTATATTTAATGTTCTTTCTTATCAGATAGTATAGCAGTTGTATGATTATGAAGAATCCTTGAATAAACCTTCAATAATATGATATGAGACCAATGAATCCATATAGTTAATGTATATTTGTTGGTACTGGAAAGTACTTTACTTTATCAGTCTTGGTTTCGTTAGTAATAATTTCATATTTACTGATTACATGACTTAAAAAGTCTATATATGCCTAAAAGAAAACATATTTACTTAGGTTTAGTTTTAGTCCAACCTTTCTAATCTTGATTAGTATGGCTTGAATATATGTTAAGTATTCTCCTACTGTTTTGAAATAAATGGTTATATCATTCAAGTAAACTATCACAAATTTCCTGATGAATTTGTATAACAGTATATTTATCAGATGCTGAAATGTTGCTAGGGTATTGCACAGTTCAAATGGCATAGTACATCCCTGAAAATGTAACAAATACCATTTTTTTCCTGTTTTTTTTATGCACTTTTATTTGCCAATAGCCTGATATAAAATTAATAGTACTAAACTATCACGCACTAGCATATGCTTCAATTAGGTTGTCTACTAATGATAAGGAATAGGCATCCTTTTACATTACTGCATTAATTTTCGATAGTCTATGCATAACCTAAGTTTTTCACCTTTTATTGACATTACAATGATTAGAGACAATCATGGGCTTTTGGATTTTTGTTAAACAAAATTATATGATTGCTGCTTTTTTTTCATTATGGTTAGGGAGTGGCTTGGCAATTTCTTTTTAGCATTAATCTTTACTCCTCCAAATGAGCTATTTCTTTTTGTATAAATTCTTTGATGTCTGATAGTTCTGTAAGCATTTTGCTTAATTGGGCTTGCTTTATCAGTATCAATCTAGTGTTCAACAATTTTGATACAATCCAACTCTGATATAGATTGTGCAAACATGTTATGCCCTTGCTTTAACATGTCTTTTATCTGTTCCACCTGCTCTGCTGCAAGTTCATCATTCATCTCCAGTTTCTCAATCTTTTTTTCTATTTTCTTTTCTTGCGTTGGCTCTATCAATGTCAGCAATTCCTCAATTAGTATTATAGAGTTTTCTTTGTGTGTGCCAGTATCAAAATTAATTGTTAACTTATTAGTTTGTTCATTATCATTGCTTGCTTCTGCTGGTATTTCATTTCAGCTCTTTTCTTTATTGGTTCTTATCTTATTACTTTTTCCGATACTTATCTTTTCACTCATTTCCTTTTTTTCTGATAGTAACAATTTTCGGATCTGGGTGAAGTATATAGCAGGACTTGATCCTGCAGATCTTGTCTCATCGTTGGATCCTGCATCACTATATAATTCAGATTGTATTATAATTGAAATCTGCATCACTATGTAACTTTCCATGTAAATATATTCTTCTTTTTCTTTTATTTTTTCTTTTTCATATATGATTTCATCTAACAACTTATCAGTTTGTTTCTTATCATATTGTTTTTTTTTTTTTTTTTTTTTTTTTTTTTTTTTTTTTTTTTTTTTTTTTTTTTTCTTTTCTTTTTTTTTTTTTTTTTTTTTTTTTTTTTTTTT